GAGATGCCTGAAGAAGACCCCAGATTGATTGATGGTCCACTTTGTACTGTGGCCTCTGCTACTCTTAGAGATAAGTAGGACAGGGAAAATGTCGAGTAGCCCAGGAGGGCTCTTGGGAAGGGAACATGTTCTGATGTAAACATTCTAATCTCTACAAAAACAGGGTGGAACAATACTGAACAAAATCCATACTGAAGGGGAGGGCACTGGTTTCACGAACATAGGCTTTTTGCTCCTTTGTAAAATGCCTGCTGAATGCAACTTTAATGATTAGTTGTGCAAGGAAACGTGCTGATTTTCTAGCTCCCATCTAATGAATGTGAAGAATGGCAGAATGATGGGCTTTTATCAGCATTAAAATATGACTCCAGCTTTTACAACCATTGCTCATTTATTTTATGGGGGAAATTTCAGACATAGTTTAGCATATATTTTATTACTTGGACTTTAAACATCATCCTAGAAACTTGACAGTTCATCTGTTAAAAATATACAATTTTTTTTTACAATGTTTTCATTTTGGAATCTTTGCAAAAGAACTTAAAATAATAACTATTACATATAGGTCTTTTTGTAAGACTAAGTCTTTCAAAATTATCTTCACTTTCAGCGAAGTAGATCTACTAGATCTCTTCTGCAAAAATCCAAATGATTGGTAGGTGCAGCAAAGTGCTAGATGTGTCATTATCAGAATGAAAGTCAGATTGGGTACCCTATAGAACAAGGGTCCCCAACCCCCGGTCCATGGCATGCCAGCAACTGAAGACCCATCTGCAGGATGCAGGCCGCATGGAAAACCATACCCCTACAGTCCATGGAAAAACCTTGCCCCAAAGGTTGGGGGCCACTGCTATAGATAAAATGGTATTTTGTGCAAACTTATCCCCAAAGTGAAACAAGGAGATGAAGTGGATGACCCAGAGAGAGGGCTTCTTTATAGTGGCAAATTATTCTGTAGTGAAATTTACAATTCTAATTAAATTAGAAATAAGGCTTTATATAAGTGTTTCTACATTTTCATATATAGCTCCAAAGCTGATGCTAGTACACACAATAAAATCTCTGAGTTGCAGCTATAATGAATATATAGGATGAGATACAGGATTCTTTGTTGAACTTTATAATCAGTGTGAGTTTTCGGCAGGGAGGTCCAGTGGGATACCCTAATGCTTTTACCAGCCCTAAGTCTGGCACAGCTTTATCTTTTCTTAGTTGGTTCCCCATTCCATGGAGATAATGTTGCTGCTTTGATGTTAGGAAGTTGATACTTAATACTGAGTGTGTTTGAGAATTTAGAAAAAGCACTGTATACTAAATTTTGTGAATTTTTATACCTCATGTAAGCCAAAGATGCTTCACCAGTGCAGCAATTTAATTAGAAAGACTAAGTGAAGGTTCTTAAACAAAGACTCTGTGCTAGTTCAAAATTAGCTTCATATTAATTGATCTGAGATCATTTGCTGAATTCAGCAACTGGTTGAAATTTCTAGGGGAGAGGAGTTTATCAGTAACCCAGATCACCATTCTTGCAAAGCATTTTCATTTTGCAATGATAAAGCTATTCTGTTTCATTGGAGGAATTGCTTGCTACTTGTCAGCTTTTGAATTTTAACCATCCTATTTAGAATAACAGAGTTGGAACGACCTTATAGGTCATGTAGTCTCAAGCAGGTTATCTAGTCCTGCGGAAGCAGCAGATCCTACATTATTTCTAACAGATGGAAGTCCAGTCTCTTTTTGAAAGCTTCCAGTGATGAAGCACCAACAACTTCTGAAGGCAATCTGTTCCATTGGTTGATTGTTCTCACTGTCAGAAAAATTCTCCTTACTTCTAGGTTGAATCTTTCCTAGATCAGTTCCCATCCATTGTTCCTTCAGGTGCTTTAGAAAATAGGTGGATCCCCTCCTCTCTGTGAGACTCCCTCAAATATTGGAACACTGCTATCAAGTCTCCCCTGGTCTTTCTCTTCACCAGAGTAGGGTCCTTTAAGAGGAATGGTTCCTGAGTGCCACTGTCTGCTACCAATAGTCTTTGCTGTTTGAGAGGGAGGAGGGTTGGTGTTTATTTTTAGCAAGAATGAAATTCACAGGGAGAAGGAGATGAGGATCTGCTTTCCTTTTGTCTTCAGCACAGCTTGGAACTTTTGCTTACTTTTCTCTCTTTTGTGTAAAGGGAGGGTAGCAACAAAGGGATTAGCTTACTAGAGTCAAAATGTTATGGACTGTAGGTGCCTTGCAATCCTTCCACCCTAAAATTAGTTAACTTTATTTAGAACATATTGACCTACTCTCCTAAGTCAGCTACTGCCATGGACTTCAACCATGATTAGATATTTTAGGAAGAGGATCTGGTTGCAAAACTGATGATATGATATAATGCAAAGTTAATGGGGAACCTAGTTGAAAATCAGATATCATAATCATGTGAAGTCCTTGCTTAACAACAGCAACCAGAACTGCCGGAACTGTTGTTGCTAAGTGACACAGTTATGTAATATTGCCCTTTATGATCAGATCACTCGTATATATTTAATATAGAAATTCATATATATTACCCCAAATATTTTATTCCTAGCCTTGTTTCAATTCACACAAATATGCAACACTTTCTATGGAATTATTTGAGCTATAACTGAACACCATAAATAAATAGGATTTTTATACTCTGAAAGTTTCATTAATTAATTCACCATTAATTAATATTAATTCATATTAATTCCTGGCATCAGCAAAAAAAGAGTGAACAATTCTCTATAAATTATTACTGCACTCTGGCATTATTTTGTTAAAACAAAAGTTTAATTACTTTGTTAAGAGCACAATCCTATGCATTTGTATTTAGGAAATAAAACCTCTTATGTTCAACTAGGGTCAAGAGATAGTGTGTACAATTGTATCCTATTTCTGGCTAAAATAATACAGTGAAATATTTAATGGCCTACTTGTGAGGAAATTTTTATTTATTTATCAACCTTGTTTAAATGTGAAACTATACCATTATTGTAATTTGCATTGCATGATGATATTGGTATACCAATGGTATAAAATGGTGTAAATGGAATTTTTACATGTTACATGTAAAGTCTATTATACTTATTCTGGTAAATAGAAGTTTCATTATTGTTTTCTTTCTCTTTTTTTAGGTATAAGATAATAACATTTCTTTGCTGCCCTAAATTGCTCTGTACTTTACTAATGATGTATTTGTAAATGTGTTCCAATGTTCTTTTTTGCCCAGGTGTTACACACTTTAGAATCTGCATTTATTCCATAACATTTCAATATTTTTATTTTATTCCTTTATGATACATTTCTGTAAACTTATGTATGAGACATTACTGAATCCTTTTAAAATAGTATTGACATAAGTTAAATATTTTCCACTGAAATTAGCTTGGACAAGTACTTTGTGTATGTGGACAATCTTTTTGTGTGTACAGTATTTTATAGATCATAAATATTATAGTAAAATAAAAATAATTTGTTTTTTTACAATTCTTGGTGACAAGACTTGAGAGAGCTGCTTTGGATTCTTGAAGTAATAATTGTTAGTTACTACAGCTGAATTCTTTAAATGTTGACAAAATACATTTGTATTATTGTTTTAAAGCTTTTAAATTGTAAATAACCTTTAGGGGCTTTGAAAGTTAAACTATGACTCAATCATTTTGCCCCTCAATTCCTAGAGGCTTTGATTTTCAGTTAATTCTTTTCGTATCAACATAATACTGTTATTAAATATATTTTCACATACTGATACGTATTTTCACATACATTTGAGTGCTGGGTTAACAATGGTAACAATTAGCAGTTCTGCAGTAATTTGAATATATCAACCCACAATTTATTCTAAACAAGTGAGATAACTTAAAATAAAGATAAAGTTTTATTTTTATCTTACTTTAGCATAAGTATACTTCAGTTAGTTTGAACCAGGAACTATGGACCCTAAAAAGTCTCTTTGCTTTGTTTTCAGTTAGGTCTTGTCTTTCTAATTCTCCATGGAACCAAAAAACTATGTAACTAATGCCACCAAAAGAAAGTATTAAACATTCACAATATTCTTTAACAATCTTTAAAGTTTAAGTAATAAAACTAGATCTTTGATTATGCTTTTCCTATCAACATGAAGAACATACATTTTTTTTAAAGATTTTTTTTTTTCTAAACAGGTTCCCACCTTCTCGGAAAATAACTCCATGTAGAATATATGTGCAGAATTTGTCCACTATTCAATAAGTTTTATCTAGAAATAGGGCTGGATATTTTTTTTTTTTTGTCTGAGAGTCAGCATAATGCTAAGTGAAAGGAAACAATCTAACTTCTCTAAGGCTTCTTTCTATCATTGAAGTTGTAAATAATTTTGCTAAATTCATCTTCAGGAATTAATGCTTAAGAATGTTCTCCAACTCAGTGTAAGGCTGTCATTTTTTTTCAAAGTGTCCTGTTTAAGTTTCAATCCTCAGTGTTTCAGTTATTAATATAATTTCTTCAGTTGGATGGTGTGAAGGAATGTCATACATTTCCCCCAGGATGGCTTCTCCTTGTTGTCCGCCTTATTCTTTAACATTCTGTAACTTGCCTTGGGAAATACGGGAAATATTTTTAGTAAAGCGGCAGCAACAACAAAATGTTCAGCAAGTACTGACCCTTGTTCAGCCTTTCCCATTCAGATTCCATATGTGTATGCTTGTGTGTTTATATGACAGTTCATTATTTAAGTTTACTCTGTCAAAATAGGTTAAATATTCTTTGGGAACTATGGCTGCATCTTTGATACATGAAAAGCATGCTAAATATAGGAAAGACTAACCTGATAAGAAAAGCATGATAGACTGCTACCATGAAAAATATTTTGTCATTTGTTTCCTCTGATTTCTGAGAGCATTATATAAGCTGTGAAATCTCACTGCAATAAATTTCCAAGAGTGGCACGTAGCAACAGCAAATATGACTGTGGATGATTCATTCTAATGACTTGACTTCTGACCTATTTACAGATATATGATCAAGATGGGACACTACAGCACTTTATTGATGGTGGGGAACCCAGTAAGTCAAGCTGGATGAGATATATTCGATGTGCACGGCACTGTGGGGAACAAAATTTAACTGTAGTCCAATACAGGTAAGCTCCACTTCAGCTTATCTGACAAATATTTCAATTTATTTGCAATAGTACGTATTTTGTCAAACAAATATGTGTCAGCAAGCAGCAACAACAACAAAATGCCACGTGAATAGTATTTCACTGCAGCAAAAAAAAAATGGCTTTGTAAATTCTCTTACGATAAGAAACGGTGCTTACCAGGTTGCGTCTAGAGGTAAGTGCTTTTTAAAAAAATGAATGCAAATGCTTTTGGAAAAAAATTGCACTGAAATCATATGATGATTTTCTGTAAGTATAAGAATAATCAATCACCTGAACTGGGTGATTGCATAATATCAGCTAACATAAGGAACTTCAGAAAGCATTAAACATGCTTGCAATCAGGCTGTGTCCTGCAAAAATTTTGCAATTGTTTAGAAAACAAGGCTAGTGCAAAAATAGAATTTGAACCACATAATTGAACTGTCCTGCTTTTCATTTGGCAAAAGAATTCAGATTTAAGGCTCCAATCTTAAAAACAGACTACGAACCACATTAGATTAGACTAAAACTTCATTTATTTATAATATGCATACTATATGCATATTGATTGAAAGTAACCCCTATAAGATTCAGTTGCACTTATTTGCCTACTCTTTGTCCCTCAGCAGCAGCTCTGAATTTAGCTATATTGTCCACTGATAGATAGGAAAATTGTCTAATTCCCTTTCAAGGTCATCTGCCGGTTAAGTTCCAACTGTTAATTAAACTTAGCTTGCATTTTCCAAAATGATTGTAGGAAACGGCTAGAAAAATGTATGTGTTAATGATGAGAAATATAAGTCTACAATGCATTTACGTCTGAGTTTCTTATCTGCAAGGGACACCACACTCTCATGGGGTAAAGAAACCAATCCTTTGAAGTTTCCCAGTGGCTTCACTGAGTGCCCAACAAAACCAAACTAAAGAGAATGGAAGAGAGGAACAATCCCACTGTGTTTATTCAAGTTTGTGGCTTGTTTATCAGACAATAGTTCTGGATGTATCTCTTCTATGCAGTTGTGTAGGCCTAATTCATTCTTGGAGAGAAAGGCTTGTGGAACACGGGCATTGCTCTGCATAGTACAGCACATGTTCTGTCAAATGGCATGTAAGCTTGAAAAGTTTAGAACTTAATTGCCTTTACTCACAATAAAAAATATCAGTTCTTCTGTGGAAAAAACAGAAAGCTTTGTAGACACACCTTCTGCTAGCACCTGGTCATTAGCTATAATTATCTAAGAAATAAAGGTCAAACATGAGAAGTTATAACTGGATGTAGAAGTCATATTTGCAAACAAAATCATCCAGTAAATGTGCTGAATTGATATATGAACTTTCAGTCAACAATATTTCCCTTTTAAACTCCCCCTTTTAAAGCAGCAAGATATTTATATCAAATAACTGTCTCCTAAATCCAAACAGCATTAACCTTAGTGTGCTGCAACGCACTTCCCACAGCAGTTTTGGGGGGCTAAAACAAAAAACTATCATATGAGCTGAGATTGGGCCCCTGTGCGCAAGAGCCATTGAAAGTGTAACTCCGGCGGTACTGCATCTTCTATAAGACTCAGGGACTCAATTTATAACACTTTATCTAATAAGATATCTGAGAAACACTGATTTTTATTTAACATACTATTATCAGATCAGTATGAAGTAGTTTCTCTGAATTCTGCTATGCTGTATGTAAAATTAGGCAAATTTTAACTGCCCACTGTTAATCCACCACCAATCACAATATATTATTCTGTCTTTTACTTTTACTTTTTACTGTTATTATTGTCTTAATGCTTTTATTTGCTGGCTTGTGACCATAATAAAGATTGATTGATTTCCCTTTTAAATTCAGAAACAATGATTTGACATGACTAGACATTATGGCAATATCGCATGGCCAATTTGACAATTGCTATATTAGCTTCTTTGTTTTGTTTTGCTTTGTTTTGTTAAAAAGGCATATACTTTTAACTTTCTTTGTATTGACAAAAATCATTTTCACAGATGATTAGAGAATAACATGAATAAAAGTAACTTCACAATCTGGAAAACTTTCACCAATGCAATGGACATTAAGCCTTTCTTTTTTACAACTTAAACATGAAAGTAAATAATAGGAAATTAAAGAAAAACAACTTGCCATTTTAGGCCACTAAACATTTTCTGTAAGAAGAAAGGTTTCAGTATAATATTATTAGTAAAAGTAGGGTGTGGGTCCCTTCATGAAGAATTCATCCCAAATGTTGATAGAAACATAGACTGGTCTGTGAGTAGTTCCTTCTGTAGGGAGATGATGTTGAACAGTTTTATCCTGTGGCTGGATTGTTTTCGTTCTTGGGGGCTTTTTCTCTGAGGTTTTAATGTCAGCTCTTCTTTTAACCTGATTTGTTCTTTTTCTTTTGTTCACTGTGTTCAGACCCCTGATTTGACTGATTACAAATAATTTAATCCATAGCAAAATTAAAATGGAAATTAATACATTGTTGTCATAAAGAGTACATTATTTACAACTGTTGAAGCACAATGGAGAGGTTGTGGGACATGACAATGCACCATATGCCACATCAGCTATGGTGCTAGTGTGATGGCAATTCCTTCATCCATGTCTGCCATTCAACTTGCCTAAACAATGGAGTGTAGATGGTATGTTTGTAATTGAGATATTTTCTGATCTACTAAGACAGTTGTGAACATATGTTGTCCTTATGCAGAACCCTGTGTCACATCTGATATACTCTTAGAGGAAAGAGAGAAAGAGAGAGACAGAGAGAGATGAATGATGTCATACTTCAGCTTACTCTTTCTAAGAAAAGTGTAGAAGACTCCTAGTCAGCAGACAGCGTTGGTGGCATAGGAGCACTGTTCTCCCCAAATTCACTAGATTAAACTGAGCATACTTGCAAGCAAAAAGACAAATTCTAAATTAAAATGCAGCCATGGGAAACCATTAAACATCTGTCAATATTAAACAGATCTTATAACTCCCCTGTTCATTCTGTAATTGTTGCTTAGAGTTTTCTCTCTTGATCTGTTTTCCATTGCCTTTAAAAACAGTTTTTAAAAAAACCTGGCATCTATCACCAGGGACTAAATCCAAGTGTAAAAAAATAATTTAAAAAATGTTAGACCCTGAAAATCTATCTAATTTTTATTGTACATGGACATCCTCCTCACTGAAAGTCAGATGGTTTAAATTCATTCTGTTATGATTTGTAATATCTAAATGGAATTTTCTTCAAAGAGCTCTTGATTGATTGACCCTTAGCTGAACGTTTTGTTTTTATTTTGAAGCTGACAATAATGTTTGTTGGCATGTGTTCTGCTTCAACTGCGTTGGGACGCCACGAAGCTATCTTTATGAGTCATCCAACCACAATACTAAATACATGTCAGCAAAGGAAATATTATCCGAAAGAGGAAAAATCCCTTTGATGTACTTCAACATGCAGAGATTTCTGCAAGTTTTGGAAGCTCTGTGAGCTTGTAAGGAATGGTGTATGCTTACATTTTTTTTCCTCTTTTTTTGGCCTACTCCTCAGAGACCACCCATTGCTCGAAAACAGTTCAGTTCTTTCAGCACCAAAGTGTGTCATTGGGTTTTAGCACATTCATTTGCTGGGCTGCTGTGTTTATGTTAGGTGAAGCCAAACAGAGAGATGAAAAGTTACAAGGGTGAAGTACAAAGTAGACTGTATTTTTTTTTAAAAGTCAGGAGATGCGGGTGATTTATAACTCTGCCCCAATTTGATTTTTATGTAATGGTGGAAAGAATTAATAAAATGTGCAGCTTGGGTGAAAATAGTGGGAGGGATAGAGAATGAGGGCAGGAGAGAGAGAGCAAGGCTTGAGTTTTTGTCAGATATTCATAGAAGGTTGGGAAAAAGCATTTTGCTTAGCCAGCAGTGCCCTCCTGAGACAGGGTGGCAGTAAGCGAGGAAAGTAACAAGATAAATGAAATTTTTGCAGCTGCTCGTAAAATATTGAGAATCTGCACTTTTTTATTGATCTTTATGATCCTGTTGCCAAGAGCCACTTTGCGGTGACAAAATATGTTGACAAGTGCATATCTCACTGCCATGAAAAATGTGGTTAAGGATTCTCCTTATGTCGGCAGTGTTACACAAGAAACAAATTGCACCACTCTGGCCAATTTTTTACAAAGAGACTAAATTTAAGGCTTACCATCCCTGCAAGCTTTTATCTCAGATTTCAGGCTTTTAGCAATTCTTCACTTCAGGAAGCAGTTCGGATTCAACTTTTTCAAAAGTCCATTTGTATCTATGCTTCACATGAGGTGGTGTTATAAATGGCCCTTCTTTACTTCTATGGCTATATCATTCTGCAGGGCGTTACTCAAGGTAGAAAGGAATACTCATCTTGTATTTATTGAATTGCTATCTATTATATATAAGGATGTTTTATGTTACTGTAACTGGTTTAAGTGACAAGCTATAATGTCAAGATAATTTTTCTTTTGGCTTCTAAATGCCTACTTTCAGGTTGGTTTCACCACTGTCTTATCGCCTCCCCTTATTGTTTCAGCTTGCATGCTTCTTTCTAAGAAAATATTATATTAGCTACATTATAAAATAATACATAAAGAGAAGTATGAATGAATAAAGAAATGGATTACCAGGAAAGGTCTGCTTTGTGTAGCTCTTGTACAAATCTCAGGTTGTGCTAAGCAATGAAGTGATAGCATGGCTTGGCGCAAGCAAATGGGTTTCCTTTGAGTGGGTATGTATGTGTGTATGTGCCTCTGTATGCACACATGGAGCAAGGCAGAATTTAAATGACTTTGAAGAACTTCAATGTATAATACATACAGCATCTCTTTGCTTAAAACAGTTCAACTTTATTCAGGCTGCAAAGAAGACAAAGAAAAGTTAAGGAATTCCATTGAGTTAATTACATTAAAGTTAACTTTCAAAATGTTCAAAAATATTCACAGGAACTAGCTTCCCAGCGTATAATTGTTACTGATTCTATTATTTTTGTGAAAATACACTTGGAACGTTCTGACATGCCAGAAAAATGACTTTGCTGAGAAATTATGGATCTGTTGTTCAGTTTTGACTATATTAGTGTCTTTTAAAAACCTGCAAGATTATTCTGGATTCTCTGTCAAAGAAGACACGTAACTTATTTATTATCTGTATAATCCGTTCTAAGACACTGAATGCTAAGAAACAAAATAGGTGCCTTTTTATGCCCGAAATATCTCATTTTGAAATGTCACATCAACTATCACCAGCTGGTGGAAGCTCTTTATCTGCCAAGCTATCAGCAGGCAAGCTGGGAGTTTCCATGATGGTATTTTTCTCCATTAGACCTCTTCAGGGGGTTAGTATTACTTTCAAAAACTGGACGAGTTAGTTACTTAAAATATATTTGTAAGCAAAACATTGCAAGGTGGAAAAATATTTGAAATATATGGGTTTTAAAAATATTTTTAAAAATTGTCCTAAAAAGATGTTAAGCACTATTTAGTATCAGGCATCTTTAAAATCTTAGCTATTACATAACTTTCTACTTTGTTTTCGTGCTTTTGAGGGATACTAGCTACAATTTAATTCTTTATTTATAACTCAACTTCTATAAATTAAAAAAGTATATTGCCTGAAACAATACTTAATTTAAAAAAATACATAACACACTTTGACTATGCAGAGTAGAAAAGATGAAGCTTCTTCACATTGAGTTTGATTTCTGGTGACTAAATGGAAACATCCCTATAGTTTCCTTGTTAGCAAAACCAAAGTGTTTTGCCATTGCTGCCTTCTGGGATTTTGTTTTGATTTCCCTGCTTAGCCTACAGACTGAGATATCCTAGTGGTCTCCCATTTTATTATTAGCCAGTTCAGAACTTGACTTGCTTTATGAGACAAACAAGTGGTTAGCAACATGCAGCCACTTGCTGAGACCCACACATGGTATTGAACTTCAAAATGCCCTTTATGGCTGCCGCTGTATCACAATGTAATAGCTGTCACCCATCACCTATTAGCTTTCCCCATCACTTTTGTATTTATCTTCACCTTAAGATGCAGATTGATACTAATATGTACTGTATGTCCTGAGATTGCTGTTTCAATTACGAGGAATAAGGTCAGTTAGACATGTGATATCTGGGACTGCTAGAATTCATAGAAAGTTTTCACTCAGGTGATCAGGAGGATGCACTTTAATAAAAAATATCCTGGGGTCTCATTCATTCTTTCTTTCTCTTTTGTTCTATGACCAGATCAAATATATTCTACCGAGCTTGCATGGATATTCCCAGAGGCACTGAGTTGTTGGTGTGGTATAATGACAGCTACACATCTTTCTTTGGAATCCCTTTGCAGTGCATTGCACAGGATGAGAACTGTAAGTGGCACTTTACCTAAAAATAGTATCTTATGCATCAATGATTTGTATTTGGATTAAAGTAGATCCCTGCCCTATCAATTGAACCATGTCAACAAAAACAAATTTTCCACCTTCGATATGAAAAACTGTTTTGAAGGTGCTAACTATAGGAACTAATATTATGATACTACAAGATATGGCATTATTGCTTACAATTATAATACAAATTTGTTGTATTTGAAGACCATTAACTTGAGGTTTTGCAAGACTATTAACTTAAGTGCCGCCACACTAATCCATGAAAAGCAGTTGATTACAAAAAAGACTTTTATGAATAGAAAGGTTATACCTTTTCTTTCCATTAAGATGTTAGTTAAAATCTGAAAAACCCATCAGTTTAGTGAACATTATGAAGCAATATCAATCTTATAAATCATTGTGAAATATTAGACCAGCAGGGAAATTTATCATTTGGTCTATCACAAAAGTTAGTGTGTCCTGAGAATGGTGCCACATCCCTATTGTGTGCACAGATACTCCCTTGATAAACACCAGGTTCTGTATCTTTTTAAGTTAAAAAAAAAAAGTGCTGCCAGTTGTTGCATATAAAGAAACATATAGTCTTATGTTTAACCTGAATAGGAATGGTTTGCATTTAAAAGGGAAGGACCTGGTAAAAAAATATTTCTGCATCAGCTGCAATGTTTTCTAGCCACTGTGTCATAGACAGTCCCAGATGCTGGATCAAACATCTACAGATATATAATGGGGAGACAGAGTACTGTAAAAACTAATGCAACAATACGTCCATCTTTATTTGTTCCCATGCCCTGTAGGTAACACAACCTGTCATGAAACCAGCATTTAAGGCAGAACTCAGCCTGTAGTTTTGATTGTTTTTGTTTATCCTGCATCCATTTCCCCCCCTTCCTCCATTTTGCAATGTGTCAAATTTTACATGATAAATTCCTAAACAACAAACTTATCCTCTTCTTTTCTGGAAAGTATGATAGGTATCAGTGGCATTCTGTAAATGAATAAGCAATCATTGTTTTTTAAAAAATGTAATAATTAAATCTTGATAGTTCCAAATTTTGAACTAGTGCATTTAAATGGGGGTAGAATGAGTTGCCATCTCTGTTTCAGATGAGGAAGTGCATGATATGAAGTGTGAGCAGTCATTGATATTATTGGTTGCTGGATATATAATTAATTTTATGGCTTCTGAAATATGTCAATTACACACAGAGACACAGTTGCAAACAACTGTAATTATTTTAGACATCTGTGACACTTGAAAAATTGAATTTCATTTACTCACTTTCTCTGTACAATTTAGTATATTGCTCTTATTCATGTCTACTCAGACATAAATTCCATCTCATGAACAATGATTCTGAGTGGCATACAGTTAAAAAGTATAACAACCAAATTAAAAACAAAGAAGAATTTAGGGGAACGGATGAGGACTATACCCATCCTATCTGCTTTGAAAAGTGCTTGCTTAGAGAAAATATACAAAACATCCAGATTTATTCATCTATTCATCTGCATTGAATTGCCTGGCTAATAAATTGTTCTTCTTCATATGTTTGTGTAAATTGTTTGTTTGCTACTAATTGTATATCAATTTTTCATAATGAGTTTAAAAATTTGCAAAGGAGAAATAATGAAAAAAAATCACCGATAAATATTAGATAGGTATATCCAAAACTATTTCACATTCTTATAGTGAACTAAACTTTGTTGCCATTATTATGAAAATGGTGATAAAATTCTGAAAATAATCAGTTGGAATGTATCATGTGTGGTAAATAAGATTTTCCACTTTTCTAATGTCTCTGCAAACAGAAAACAGTCACAATGCTAAAATAGTCTTTTTTGCATTGCTGTTCTTTCACTTATATGATGTTCGTGGCATAAGGAAATATCCAGAAATATAAATCTCAGATTTGTTTTTGGAATTTTTTTTTACCACTTCCTGACCACCATACAGGATTGCATGTGTAGACCAGGGAAAATTTCATTGCAATGCTCATCTGTTTATCTCTACAATTAGAATTCAGTGCTTTATTGTAAACACAATGAAAGATAAGTAGATTATGGTGCATGTTTGTGCTAATATATTTTTTTTCATATTTCTGAAGGCTGTGTTATAATGACAGAAATTTTCTTTTTCTCCCCCCCCCCCAGTGAATGTTCCTTCAACTGTAATGGAAGCCATGTCAAGACAAGATACTCTCCAGCCATTTAGCAAAAGTAGCAAACCGCCCTCTGCCCCTCCACAGCGATCCATAGTCTTTCCACAGACTCCATGTAACAGGAATTTCTCTCTTCTGGATAAATCGGGTTCTCTCGAATCAGGATTTAACCAGATCAGTGTAAAAAACCAACGAGTCCTCGCAAGTCCAACATCAACAAGTCAATTAAATTCTGAGTTTAGTGACTGGCATCTTTGGAAATGTGGGCAGTGCTTTAAGACTTTCACCCAGCGGATCCTCTTGCAAATGCATGTTTGTACACAGAACCCTGACAGGTAAAAACATGGACACTCTTTACTTCTGTATCTGTTTATATAGACAACATTGCTTTTGCTTTATCAGGCTGACACTCTTTTTAGCAGTGGAGGGTTATTAGAAGGGAACCTGTGCAGAGCAATTCATCTGCTGCTGTATGAAATATACAGATAACAGCTGTAGGTTAGTGTTATTTGTAAAAATATTGGGTACCTAAAGACACAGATAAGAGAAACTGGCTACGGATATAATCTAAATTTGGTACATGTCTTGGAAAGTGGAGGAGGGGGACAAAATAGAAGGAAAATATATGGATATACCAAATGGGAAAAAAGAGGTCAAGATAATTAAAAGTCATTCTGTCTTTGAGAGATAATATAACTTGTGGCTCAGCAGCTGTCATAGCCATTTCAGGGTTCACCTATAGTGTGCAATGTGTATGAACTTAATTAAGTACTAAGGGGTAATGAATTGGAATTTTTTGCTTAGCACTATTTTTCTTCAGAGCATGCAAAGCCATAAATCGTGCAAAGCTGTCAAAAGGAAATACCTACTCCACTAGTGATGTGGAGGAAAACAGATGCCATTTATTCAATAAACTAATATCCACACCGAAGAAAAATGTTGACTAGATACCTCAGAGTCAAAGTTGGTTGAAAGTTTGTCAATACAGAATTTTATGGCCATGAACTGAGGATGAAATTTAGCTGAACAAGTGAATTAAAATTTCAGGTACTCTGACCGGTGGCCCGGTAGAGATAATGGAACTATTATTTATGAATCAAATCTGGTTTATTTGACAATCTTGACAGCTGGCAGCACAAAAGGCAAAAATCAAATTAACCCAATAAAAATATTGTTTGGGATTTTGTTGTTCCTTTAGTGACAAAGAGGTGCTTTAACAAAAATGATTGAATGTCCTGGAACAATCATTTGAGAAACAATCCACAAGTATTGTTCTTATGCTACTTCAGTGGTAAAAAGGAGCCTTAGCAGATTAGAGAGAAGTTTTGAAAGCTGATGTGCCATTTTAGTAAACATTAATGTTTTCATTGCTGAGTATAAATCTTTTATCATTTTTTTTTGTAATTTTTTTTTTATTTTCAATTTTACAATACATAACAATCTTACAAATACTTCAGATAAAAAACAAAACAAATTGATACATACCACATTCGGTCTTGCCTGCCCATTTCCCCCCAAACCGCATCCCACCTCAAACCAACTTACCTCTTTCCTCTTTTTCTTCACTCACCCCCTATAAAATCTTTTATCATTTTATAGGAATCTCATTAAAATACATTAATCAGGCCTATTACTATAGAACATCAGGAGTTTTTTTCGGTAAATCTTCTATATGGGTTTTGCATGAGAACAAAATAATAAATTTATTAAGGGAACAAAAGACCTTTTTAATATTGCTTGAAAATTTCCAAAGGAATTTCAATTATTCAACCAGAGATCTAAATATGAATGGATTTGAATGGATGCATAGATCTCTCAATTTTTTTTGTTCATTTCAATAAAGTGAATAGACTGCATGGGGAGATATGTATTTAATGGTAATTTCTCCACTAAAGTAAATTAGCTAATTTTCCAAAATACTTATGCATGTACTGTAGTGTACATCAAATATTCTGTGCCTGCAAGAAATCAGATCTTTGGATTAAAGTCAATTTCATGTTACTATTTTCACTGCATTAAAATGTGCAAAACATTGAGCCATAATTAAAGAATCTACAATAACAATTTTGAGGATTTAAAAACCAAGATAGAATGCCATTTTTTTTCAAATTCAAGTGTCCATTGCCTTCCAAAATTAATTTATTTGCACACTTAATCATACTAAATTATAATAATGTTCCTAAGCATGCACCAACCTATCGCTGAATCTTAACTGTAATCTTGTACTAATGCTGAAGTAAGTCTTCAAACAGCAGCCATGTAGGTTGTTTGGCTCTAAGATTAGGCATAGTCTGAAGTGAGATGAAGGAAGAGTTTTTTCATCATCTTTTACAAAAAAACAACATTTGAATTTATCTGGAGATTCTGCATTTATTAAGGAGATAGAAAAAACATGGAAATTCATTGGTACCTCTGCTTGTTAGTAGTAATGGAAATCTACACCAGTTATTTTTAGTTCTGGTACTCATACAACTTATATATTCTGGGGCCTTTTTCAGATATTACAATAAGAAAGTGGTTAGGAAATGTAAGATATGAATAGTCCACAGTATGCAGGGGTAGTAGAAAGTATATCTTTCAATCAATAGCCAGGAACAATAGTAGTGAGTATGTGTACTTTTTTCAGTTTTCCAATGGTGTATTAGCAAGCTAATTTTTTCTCACCAAATAATGATAATTGTATTTGTGAGAATATTGTGCTTGCACTTTTTGTCAATGTTTTTGTAGTTGAGTAAAGCAATTATATAAAGTGTGACTCATAGTCAATATCACTATAGTGTCATTGTTCACCTGAGAAAATGTAGATTGGAATAAAGTTCTTGAAACTTTTCACTGCCAACAGATCTACATTGAGCTAAAATAAGTGTTCTTGAAGGTGAAAGTTTGCTTCCTCTCATCTTATGCACTCCCAGCTGCTTGAGGGAAGGGTTAACTCACTAGTAAAAAAAGGCTCTAGCAGCAATTCATGAGATTAGGAGAAAGCTTCTCTTTAAACATTTACTCTACACAAGACAGAGCTGGATAAAATCTCATTATAGGCAGCTTTCTGGGTTTGCTTTCTGGACACAAAAACTGGATGTAATATTAAAATTATTCTACAAGAGTAGAGTTTGTCTGTTGAGAGTAGAGACAGCTAGGGGAATAAGGACATCATGGAAATTGAGATTATCACAATTTTATATCAAAAGAATAGAGACAATCCTTAAATCTTTCTTAGAAAAAATGGGTTTTGGTCAACTATTCTTCTATCCTAATATAGGATAAGAATTTCAATTTTTTTGCATTTCCTATATATACAGTCTAAACATTTTTTCCCTCTGGATTACTTAAGAACTAATTTATAGGTTTGCTGGAAAATTATTTGTGGATTCAATGTAAAATATCTTGTAATAGATGAAGTGAATAAGGTTTTTCTATCAAGGTTATAGAGCAGTGGTTCTCAGCCTGTGGGTCGGGACCCCATTTGGGGTCGAATGACCATTTCACGGGGGTCACCAAACCATGCTGTCCGCCATTTTTTCCCTTTTCCCTAGCTGTCCTACTCCCTCTTATTGGTGGCCACACCCACTTGGGGTCACCACAACATGGGGAACTGTATTATGGGGTCATGGCATTAGAAAGGTTGAGAATCACTGTTATAGAGGTTGTGCAGTGCAGAATATTGGAGCCAGATTTGGGGACAATCAAGGAATTTCCCCAGTGCATGTATTTACAATTCTAGGCGAGCACTTGTAATTCTTGTAATATGTATATTAACACTGTCATCGTGTATGATTAATAATGTAATTAGCATTTAATATTATGTAATTATTAGGCCCATACAAAGCACACAGCTTCAGTTCGAGCAAAGTGATTCACTGCACGGAGATAAAGAGGACACCTTCATTTTAATAAAGGCTTTCATGCAGCCTTAGACACTGGGCTAATACTGTGAGAAAAGACTTCTCTCAGACTTCTGGCCCAACACTATCAAAGTGCTTAGGACATAGGAAACTTTAAGAATCCTCTCATGCCTAGCCGGAAAGACCTTCAGGACATGTTGGTAGGGTTTAAACCTCTGGGTTGCACTGTGGATTTGTGCACTGTCAAACCTAATTTAGCATAGAAGCACATCAACTGAGCTCTGCAGAAAAAGTCTGAAAAGAGGTTCCAGAGTAGAGTGAGATAAAGCACTACTGTCACTTTGCTCTTATAGATGTGATGATTTTGCTTTGCAAAACAGTAGGACCTCATGCTTTGTTCCAAGTTGCACTGAAGCAAAATGCTTCATACAAACCATTGTTCAAATCACTCAAAGGATAGTCACTGTTGCGATTATTACTAAAGAGTGGAATATGAACCTTGTGTAACTCTTCTTAAATCACCAATAAAAGGATTTTCTAGTCATGTTCTCCAAGGCAGAGAGTCTAGAACACCAGAACAGATTAAAAATCCACCTGCTTTGAGAGGAACACCCTTGACCCACCAGTGCTTTGACCCATCCCTTTCACCATTGTTTCTGAACAGGAGTATAATAGACCTTTCTCTATTTCTCAACGGTAGCAGAAATAGGTTTACAGGCACAGTCGTTCCTCTTAAGTCATGCCTGGTTATTCACTAATTTGCACTGGTTTATGGATATTATGGCTGGTTGCTCAAGTAGATTTGACAGTAAAAAAAACTGTGAGTGATTTGTGCCAAGAATAGAGACATTCAGTGCCTGTAGCATGATTATAGTGGCAGAGTGCAAATGCCTTTCTACATAAAGAATACATGGCATTTCAAAAGGGAGAGGAGTTGTTTTGCAGATATCTTTTACTTCCACTGAAAGAGAAGAAATATATTCATCAAATGCACGGTGTTTTGTCCTGTTTTCAGTAGTAATAGTAGTAGTATAGTATAGTACAGCATTAGTATAGTAGTAACTTTTAATTATCTCATTTGCAATATATATTGTATGAACATTTTTATTTGGATTTTCTATTCCCGTTTTAGACAATAAGTATATATTTTAATTTAAACCCAATATTTTTTCTTTTAATTAGAAAAAAATTAAGAAATCATCTTACTATGGTTTACTATGACTGATTATTTCTAGTTCAAATAAATAATTTGACTTGTTTCCAAGATATAATTACACATCTTGTGCTGTTTCTAATAGCTCTTCTATAGGGCAATACAACAGCCTTCCCTAACTCTGCAGCCAATCCCTTTTAATAATAATGCAGTAAAAGGGTCTTTATGATATAGTTTGAATTGTGTAAAAAGTATTATGTGCAAAATTAATGGCATTATTTTTTCAGAGTAATAATATGAGAGCAATGTATAATGTTTATGTATATTAATTAATAATTGATTAATCATATGATAAAATATATATTGTATTATATTATTTTAAAAGCAGCTTTTAAAATTTTTGGTAGACAATGATATCCCCAGGGCAGAAATTAAGTATGTTCAAGGTTTGTATGTAGGCAATGTTGAATTTTATAGTAATTAGATTTTTTTGGAAACAGTTTTCACCATTTTAGTTACATAGTCCCTTACCACCTGTGGGAGGGAACAAAAGAGGTTCTGTCTCATATAAAAATGGGATAGGACTTAGAAAGCCATTCAGGCTGCCATCTTCATTTTTTTTTACACCTCCTTCTCTCCGTAGATGCTGTTTTCTCTTGCACTAGAATCTATTTTTTAAATTGCTAATTAATTTAATGCTTCTCCTGAAATCAACTTAAAGTCTAAAATTTAGAAGCACACTAGAAGTAATTGGCCAAGCGGTTTCCAAGATTTGGTTTGGTTGTTTGCTTGTTTTGCCTGGTTCTTCGCAATCTTACCCATTATTCCATGAACCAGGATTAGAAATCCCTTTTCTCTTCTGTTTTTCTGCTGCAGAAATTCCCAACAATCCCATTTGGGGGGCTCCAGAAAGGGGTAAGCAGAAGCCTTCAATCAAAGTGATCTTTTTTTAAAAAAAGCATACATTTTTCATAATGAATTTTAACTAAAAAAAGCAGTTCTTACAATACACATCATTATTTTTAATGTCGTGCACAATCTACCCTGCAATTTAAATGATTAATATATATCTTTTAATATACATATATGGATATTCTCCCTGACAGCTTCATTTATATATATATATATATTCAATAATGATGGTGTTTTCTGAGGTTTTCGTGGGTGTTTGTATGTAGGTCTTTGGTTATTCGTCATCTTCAGGCTGTTGTTTTCAGCTTCTTGCTTCTAGGAGCAAGAAGCCAAAAACACCAGCCTGAAGATGACGAATGGGACTTCGTCGAAACGTCACCAAGACACTTCCAATTTGATGCGGGAGAAAACCCAAATAACCAAAGACCTACACACACACACACACACACACACACACACACACACACACATATAAACATTTGCATCAAATTTTAATTTGATAAATTAAATGTTATATGTACAATATATTGATGGAGTAATAAACACAGTATGTTCAAGCTTGTATCATGAGATATGTGTTAATACACATAGTCCTCGACTTACAACAATTCATTTAGTGACCCTTCAAAGTTACAACGGCACTGAAAAAAGTAACCTATGACCATTTTTCACACTTATGACCATTGCAGCATCCCCATGGTCACTTGATCCAAATTTGGATGCTCTTATTTATGACAGTCTCAGTGTTCTGAGGTTATATGATCCCCTTTTGTGAGCGATCCTTTTAACAACTGTGGCAAGAAAGGTCACAAAATGGGACAAGACTCACTTAAATGTTTCCCTTACAACAGAACTTATGGGCTCAATTGTGGTCGTAAGTCGAGGACCATCTTTATGTGCAGCACCTCCTGTCATCTATTGATGAGCACATCAGATCAAATATGCTTCATCACACATCTGATGCGATGTGTGTCATATCATGACACCACAAGTTACTAGGTCTTGGGAGGAGAAATGGAGGCAGTTGGCCCCTGCTGAGGTCATGGAGGCTGAGTTCCGGCTGTGTCGCTCTTCCTGTCATTTACTTTGATTCATTGATGTGGACCTTTTACAGCAAACAAATGTGCCATAGAACAGTGGTTGAAAAACAACGTCTTAGAGCCTTGTGTTTGTAGTGTGATGGTATGTTGAATTTTCTTCAAGTATATTATTTGGAGTACCTTGCTTGATTTTAAGAGCAATGCAATCTTGTCCATCATTTCTATTTGATAGTAACTGTCCAGAAATCACAAGCAGCACATGAGAGCAAAAGCATCCACCTGTTCATATTTCCTATTATATGATATTGTAAGGTCACTGGCCCTTGGCAAAACTTGAAAACTCATAAAAAATCCAATCATGAAAACTCAAGCAGAGGCTTCTTAAAGGTACAGCACTTTATTTTCGATTGAAATAAGTCCTGGGTGGGAACACAATCTGAACACTGGCAGCAGTTGCGTTCAGAAGTGCCACACCTTGGAAAGTTAGTAGCAGTGCTTTATAAACTTTGTTAGCCAATGAGAATCAGACAACAGAGTCGTTACATTATAACGAAGATATCAATCATTCCTGTACACTCCCTTATTCCTCCTTCAGTACATCTCATCCATGTACATGTTTCCCACACTTGCATGAAATTTTTCCCGAGGCAAACACTGATTACAGAAGCGAGATAGCAATAGTTAGGCTAAACAATTTCTTTTTCTTCCAGTTACAGAACCCTTCAATATTTAGCAATATATATTTAAAATGTTTCAAGTTACATATGTTATCACCAAAGAACTTTTATCCATCCCCTACCCCATTTCTGCAATAGCCATGACAGTAGCTTTATTCACTGTAGGTTATCTTTCTTATTCCCATCACATTTTTGAAGAGAATGTAAAATAATAATGAACATCTTACCAGGATCTGTTCCTCTGAGTATATGTTGACTATAGAATCAAAAAACTGATAATAAATTAAATTTAACATTCAATTCTTCTTGCATAATTACTTCTAAAAAGCTTGTAGAATTATTAGTTTGTAGTTTAGTATTCTAAATAAGTGAAGTATTTCTGTCTAATATCATTATGATACAACTGAATATTACTTGCTTATGCCAATAATCTTTTCTACTTTACACGAAAGCTTAGATTTAACAAATATGAGCAGAATATTTGACAAAATATTATTTGACAAAAATATTTTTCCCCTTCATCTCATGAGGTGATTTCATCATAATATAGCCTCTGTTACATAAAATTACTTACTACATGGAGGGAAATGTATAGTGGGGTGCCTCAGGACTCTGTTCTGGGCCCAGTGCTCTTCAACATCTTCATCAACGATTTGGACAAAGGGATAGATGGGGAACTCATCAAATTTGCACATGACACCAAGCTGGCAGGAATAGCCAACACTCCAGAAGACAGGCTTAAGATACAGAGAGATCTGGACAGACTTGAACACTGGGCACTATCTAACAAAATGAAATTCAATGGTGAAAAAAGTAAGGTTCTACATTTAGGCAAGAAGAATCAAATGTAAGGTATAGTATAGGTGGTACCTTGCTCAATAGTAGTAACTGTGAGAGGGACCTCGGAGTCCTAGTAGACAATCACCTAAATATGAGCCAGCAGTGTGCTGCAGCTGCCAAAAAGGCCAACACAGTGCTAGGCTGCATTAACAGAGGGATAGAATCAAGATCACGTGAAGTATTAATACCACTCTTCAATGCCTTGGTAAGGCCACACTTGGAATACTGCATCCAGTTTTGGTCACCACGATGTAAAAAAGATGTTGAGACTCTAGAAAGAGTACAGAGAAGAGCAACAAAGATGATTAGGGGACTGGAGGCTAAAACATATAAGGAACGGTTGCTAGAATTGGGTATGTCTAGTTTAACGAAGAGAAGGACAAGGGGGGACATGATAGCAGTATTCCAATATCTCAGGGGCTGCCATAAAGAAGAGGGAATTAAGCTATTTTCCAAAGCACCTGAAGGCAGGACAAGAAGCAATGGGTGGAAACTAATCAAGGAGAGAAGCAACCTAGAACTAAGGAGAAACTTACTGACAGTGAGAACAATTAATCAGTGGAACAACCTGCCTCCAGAAGTGGTAAATGCTCCAACACTGGAAGTTTTTAAGAAGAGACTGGACAGCCATTTGTTCGAAATGGTATAGGGTTTCCTGCCTGAGCAGAGGGTTGGACTAGATGACCTCCAAGGTCCCTTCCAATTTTACTACTACTACTGCTATTATTATTATTATTATTATTATTATTTATTAAGTAAATCACTGAGCAGTCATTATGCATTTTTCTATAAAAAATGATAGTCTTGAAAGTATAGTATCTGCAGGTTTGCTGACAAATGTTAAAGGCTTAGTATATCTCGTATTCAGTTGCAATTGTTTCTAATAGAATGATTTGATTTTGCAGAAAAAAAATCACCTTAAAATAAGGGATTAATTGATTTTATTTAGTGACTTATTTGTTCATTGTGGTACCAGTTTAAAAAATAGATAACCAGGGGCTAATAAATGTTAATGATCCCACTCATTCTCAGAAAATCAATTCATGATGATTACAGCACATCTTGGTTGATCTTTTTACCCAAAGAATCTAATATTAAAAATATCTTATTACAGCAGATTATTATTATTAAGTGCTTCAAGAAAAAAGAATATACTATAGTGAAATATCTAATCTTTGGTAGATTTTTATATGTTTGATTTATCAGCTTCATTTTCTATATAAAAATGAATAGTTCCTTTGAACAAAAACTGAAATTGCTTTCCAATCATAAAAGTAAGCATTAGAATATAACAAGTTTAATATGTAGTATTAATGCAATGTAAAATATCTGATTTTTTGGAAGCCTGAAATCTATGTACATTGAGTTTGTATGAAAGGCACCTACTTCCAAACCTTCAACATCCAAAAATGTTATATACATTGCATGAAGTCTGAATGTCAGGACAAGGGGGGGGGGGAGGGAGAATGAAGAAAGAAACATATATAAAGGTTCCATTTATTAATTATGTAAAAGAAAGAACAAAACAAGTGAGTGGACTAAAAGACATTATGTATTTTTTAATGAACTTGCTCATCCCAGTGGCAAGCAAAAGTTAGGATTTCAAGAGCTCAGAGATACAGTATGTCCTAATGAAATGCCCTCAGACCTTTCCACTTCAAAGAGCAATAACGTCCTGTAAATAGATACTAGAACAAGGAATTGAAAAATCATATCTATCTATCTATCTATCTATCTATCTATCTATCTATCTATCTATCTATCTATCATCATCATCATCATCATCTGTATCTAATCTATGCATGCATAAATCTTATTTATTAGTAGCATTACCATTATGGTAATGCTCTTTATGGTACAGTAAAGTTCTTTCTGGTAGTTCAGTAGAAAAGAAATGAATTCTTTTTTCCCTCTTCCTGAAAGCATTTACATAAGAAATGATCAAATAATGTTTGGAAATCTGATTATTATTAACATAGGGAAAATTAAAATCCCTAAATAATTTCAATTCAACTGATATCTTACAGCTATAGAACTTTATATTTGAAACTTGTTATGGAACAGACATCACAGATTTTACAGTGCAATTAAAATAATATAGTATTGAACTATTGACCAAAGCTAGGTTATTAATCAAGCAGAAAAATTCTGTGATCAGGGCTCTGAAGCACTGTAAAATAATAGTATTGGTGATCAGCGATGCAAGTAGTCACAATTAAGCAGTCCAGCTGAAGAATGAGGGATAACATTTTATTGTACACTTAATTGAATTGTTCTGTATGCCTGGTCACCATTGTCTCTTTCCTTTGTTCTTTTGTTTTAGCTCTTCAGCACTATATATTTGTTCAGAACAAAATGCTGTTAAGACATCAGTGTACATTAACATTAAAAGAAAAGGTTTTACGAATTGTAGCTTAAGCTGCTTGTTCCTCAGGACTAAAATTAT